TTGATGTGAACACGAGTTCGGGTTCAGTGAGGGGTCAGACACTCCATGTCTTGAATCGCTCTATACATCAATTCTTGAATATACCCTACGCTGAGCCCCCTTTAGGCCCACTCAGGTTCGCACCTCCACTACCCCTCGAAGAGCCCAAACAAGTAATATATTTATTAATTATTTTATTTTCAAACATGATAATTATAAATGTATAACTTTCTAGGGTATAATCGATGGCACAAAACCCGGCAATTATTGCATTCAAAGTATGATGGCATTTGCCAACGATGTATCAAACCCTACGGCTAGTGAAGACTGTTTGGTATTGAATATATGGACACCAAATGTAGACAATAGTAATGATAATCACCAAAAAGTGGGTCTAAAACCAGTCATGTTCTCTATATATGGCGGGGCACTGAGTATGGGATCAATATTTCAAGACTTTTACAACTCTTCAGTGTTGGCCACTAATGATGTGGTTGTGGTTGCGGTTAACTATAGGGTCGGGCCGTTGGGGTTCCTCTACGGCGGCGATCAGACAGCACCCGGAAATGCGGGCTTTTATGACCAGCTATTAGGACTTAAATGGGTATTAATTTATATTAGTATTTAATTAAAAAGTATTAACAAAATGATATTACATAATAGGTTAGAGAAAACATACATAAGTTTGGCGGAGATAAGGACCAGATCACTATATTTGGTGTGAGTGCCGGCAGTTGGTCCGTATCGGCACATATGTTGTCTCCGCTATCGAAAGGCCTTTTTAAGAGGGCTATTATGCAGAGCGGGTCCGTTATGTATAACAAAGATCGTCCGGCGCTGAGCACTGTTGAGGGCCTCCAAAGGGCCAAACAATTGGCAAAGAAATTAAATTGCGATGAATTTGACTACAAATGGTTGGACTGTTTGCGTGCAATCGACGACCCGAACCTGTTTATTGAGAAACCAGATTTTGGTGTATTTTCTATGACACACGCCGTGTTTGGCACAAAGTTTTTACCAGTGTTACCACAAAAAGCATTTTCAACCGGGTTATTTAATAGTGGTAATAATTTTTATATTTATTACCTGATGTTTTAGAGTATGAATGTGCTCAGGAGAGTTTAACTATGTGAGTTTACTAAACCTGCATTTGGATATTTTTATTAGATGTAGAGCTAATGACCGGTGCGACTAAAGACGAGGGCCTATCTCTAGCCATGATGTTATACCCGGAAATGTCAACCGATATGACTGAACACCAGTTGCGGGAACTTGTGGTCAAATTGAGTGACGAATACCGCAACATAGATGTGGACAAAGTGTGCGATCATTACCTCAAAGGTGTTGACACAACAAATTCATTTCAATTGAAGGCAGCTTTTAGTGCATTATATGGCGATTTAGTGATGACTTGTCCCACATATTTGTTTGCCAAACATGTGGCTGAAAGTGGACAAAATGTGTATTTTTATCGTTTTAATTTTCAAAGTCAATACTTTGCCAAAATGTTTGGCGATACCGGAGACGCCGTATGTCACGGCGCGGACATACCTTTTGTTTACGGACTTCCCTTAAGATATCCGCAACAGTTTAGCGAAACTGAATATGACTTTAGTATTGATATAATTAAAATATGGACTGAATTTGCTAAAAATGGGTAAAGGTTTTACATTTTATTTAATTAGGTTTAATTCAATGATTGAACTAATCTATATGTTGTAATTATGTATTAAAATATGTTTCTATAGCAAACCACATGACGTTTGGCCACAACTTTGGGACAAATCTGTGATTCGAGTGAAAGACTTGAATCCCAACGATATGTCACTT